GAGGAGAAGTGAAGTGAAGTGCGCCATTGTAACGTGAAATGTGCAGTTTGGGTTTTGACACTGCGTTAACACATTCCTGCGGAGGGAGCTGGTAGGAACGTTGGGTTGCTCGGTCAATGGCCAGGGTCAACGGCGGCGTGGTGTATTCCGCAAATATGCCCGACTGTGAGGGCGGGCACAAGCCGGCGTGAGTAGGTTAAACGTTGAGTTTTATAAGGGCACCACGGTGTAACCAGCCCCTTCCCAAACAGCCCCACCCCTCCCACCCCCCACCCAGCCCCACCCTCCCCACCCAGCCCCTCCCCACCCTCCCCTCTCCACCCAGCCCCACCCCTCCCATTTTTTGATGCAGGACGGACACAATAATTCCCTGTGGGCTGGGGGAACCAGGTGGTTCCTACCAGTATAATATTACAGTGTTTGCTGACAAAATGCCTTCTGCACTATGCCGCCCATCAGTCGCCATGCCTATAGAGGGGTGTGTAAATATCATTCAGGTGTTTACGACACATTTTCGCAATCAAGTTTGACATTTTTTCCCAGTAAATACAAGCTATGGTCATTATAATTGGCTTTCAGTGGAACAGAAAAGTCTCGTCTCTGGAGAAAATGGAAAGCATTTAGTGTTAACATTCGTGCCATTAGGACCTTTTTTTTTAGTTGGGGGGGGGGGAGGAGGTTGAATGACGACCGTTTTTGCAGCCAACGGTCAAAGAAAATATAAAAATATCCATCGCCAAGGTGGATTCCACGTCCATTTGATGGCTGAAAACTGCAAAGTTTGAATGTTTCAGTTGTAGTGTACGTAGGGTGTAGGATTATTTTCGACTGTGCTGTACAGCTCTGTCCTGCGTGAATTAAGGTACCGAGGAGAGGGGGCTCGCAACATATGCAGAAAAACGTCGGACATAAATACAGAACAAAACGCGGTAACAACCTCGAAGCACATTGGAGGGCAAATGTGAACGTTGAGTTTGTCTACAAATGGTGGCTTTGAGTGAAACGGGCAGGGGCCACCTCTTCACCACACAGCCAGTGGCAAAGGAGCAGATCCGTAATAACTTTAAATAAAATTAATATTTGTTTGAACGTTGGGTAGCATTTGATCAGTTATATTTAGCAACAACAATAATAATGTCACTGAGTCCGCTTATGGAATATGGACGAGTACAGTATTGTGGGGAAACACACGGAGTGTTTCGCGCACTTGGGCTGTGAACCCCGGTGACCTGAGTTTGATTCCCGGTCACGGCTGAAATTAGTTGGCGAACGATAACTGAACCGGTCCTGGGCACCCCATTCACCAACCCGCACTGACTGCTGTCGCGAGGTCTGTTCAGTCAACCCCCATGACCGGCAACTGCGTGGTTTGACAATGGGACTGTGTGAAGTATTACGTAATAATTCTATAACACGACATTAATTTAAATTGTGAGTACTTTTAATATTTTTTTAAATTCATTAAATAAACACGCACAACAGAAGTGTAGGCGTCCCTCGATATACGGAACAGAAACGTTCCTCAAAAGTTGTCCGTAAAATGACGTCACTTAAATTGAACCCGGTTTTCCCTATTGGCTTCCAATGTGTAATTGAAGATTGCGTTCTTACAGAAAAAAAATGCAGCCCCAAGATGTAATAAAATCGCAAGTAAAAAGTGGCGTACATTTTTTTTAAGCAAATCTTTCTTGAAAAAGTTGTATCATTTTATGATAAAATATTCATAGTTGTGCTCAACAATAGTTCGCGGGAAACCAGTACTAGTGTGACAGGCACGTGCATACGACCTGGAGCAGCATGACATGATGCATTGTTCGATTAAGTATATTTGGTAATGTGGGCCCCTCGACGAGATTAAATACCTCGCCTGGTATACAGAAGATCGTGGGTTCAATCTCGACTGGTGCCTGTATATTTGGAGTTTGTGTGTCTCTCTCCCCGTGGTGGTGTGTCTTTTTCCTCTGGGTCCTCCGGGTTTTCCTTCCACGTTTAGAATCAACGTGTGCTGAGAGTATTTGACTTATAAATTTCCACGTGGTAAGCCACTATCTTGAGCTACCATTTGTGACAGCCAGGTCACTTCTAAAAAAGAGATATATTTAGCTCGGTAGGTCTCACCTGGTAAAATAAAAAAATAAAAAGATTTACAAATAGAATAGGAATGGAAAAAAAACCATACCAATATGCTTAAAGACGAATGTTTTCAATCGGTGCGTGTTACGTGCTATGATGCATAGATTGGAAGCACAGACTTGACTACAAGCTAAAGGATATGCAAATACACGTATAGAGAAGCATTTTGGGAATTTACACTTAGATATAGGAAGAGGAACACATTGGTGAGAGGAGTTGCGCAAGTTAAGAGACATGATAGGATACGTGAAGAATGTAGGTGGGCCGGGTAGGGCAAGACACGTGGTGGGCAAGGCTGGGGTCACAGAATTGCAGCCAAAAGAGGGAAACTCGCCCAAGAGGATAACCATCGCAGGGGTGGAGTGACGAGATCTGCTCATCCGCAGGAGTGAGATGGACCGTGTCGTCGCGGGACTGTGATGGGTGGCGACAACGTGGGGAGGATTTCATCCAGCAGTGGATGAACCGTGGCTGAGAATGACAACAGAACCACCACATTTCTCTCTCTCCCAATGTGAATAACCCCAAATTGAAATGCAAGTTGGGACTTGTGATGTCTAGCTATTTTAATTAAAGTTTCCCTCATTTATTTAAATGCTCTTAGTAATTTGATATCACGCAACGAGTGAACGCGGCAGTCATAATAAAGATTACAATGCAGTAAAAGTGATTGAGGTTCTCAATTCGATGCAAGAGGTCTATCCTTTTTTCAACATCGTGGTCAATAATGTAGTCACTCTTCACAGCTGTACAATGCTTATCATGCAATTGAGCGCACGTATCGTGAGCCTCAGAATCGATCGATTCATTGTTACACCTCTAAAAGTGTGGTTGGGTACATTTTAAATGTTGAAGTCGTGCTTAATAACACAACCGTGCATTTAGAATTATCTATTTTGCAAGAAGATTATTTAATGCAGGGACTCCCCTACTTACGAGCATTCGACTTCCAAACTTTCAGAGATGCGTACAAACCTGTCCATATGTCCAGTTGCCTATTTGCACTGCGTTCCACCGCCATGGTGGTGGCATCTCCATCTGCAGACCACGAAACCAGTGACATCTACATCCAAAAGCGATTATACAACTTTTAAAGCCATTCCCCCATGTTTAGTGTACATGGCGTACAGCATGTTTGGAATCGACAGGAGTAAAGTTGGATTTGCGAACAGACCTATGGAACCTAACTCGTTTGTAAGTAAAGGAGTCCCTGTAATACACAAAGTTGTATTGAAATATGGAGGACATTATTTATCAATGTGCAAGTGGCCTGGCAGAGCATTGCGTGTCTGATCCAGATAAGCAGCTTATAGCGCCGCAAGCGAATTATTTGAGAGAAAAAGAAAAAGATATCGCAGTTAAGTATTATCTTGGGGTGCATTGTAGTTCATTATCGTTGTTTTAATGGTTCCTTACTTCACTGGTGGGATACAATGGAAGGTGTGTAGGTGTGTTGAAAATCATTTCTATTCAAATGTATTGAGATTCACCTGGGACTGGTCGTTGCTCATGAATAACAATTGAAAATTGAAAAGGCAGATAACATTTAATGAAGCAACGCAAACCGCATTCACTGGACGTGACATGAATTGATGTGGGCAACCAAATTTGACCCAAACTGTCACCGGATTTTTTTTTGTACGTAGACTTTTTAAGATGCGGTTAAGACCGCAGGGAATCTCTTACATTAGGGAATATGCTTGCTATTATTAATGCGTCTGCAAGTTTATTTCGCATATTTTATTTCAGTTAGGTTTGTACTTCTTGTGCCTTCATTTAAAAGTTTTTATAGCTTAAAAAAAAAGGGGGGAAAATCTGCTGATTTGCTGATGTTACGGGCGTTGTGCACACAAGTGGCTGTTGTGATTGCCGGTAGCGCGTGTACTTGTTGGATGATGTGTTTTTGGGATTGTACGAGAGAAACCGGACACCCAACCCGTCCAGTGCCAGGTACACGGTTGATGCATAGTGACCGGCACGCTTGTTCAAGGTGTGTTGCATGTGGCTGGGCCACTAGGCGCGAGTGGAAACACGATGAATGTTAAATTCTACGTGGGGTTTTTTTCTCCCTTTTTTAACCTACCTTTTATTCTCAAAATTAACACGCAGCACCAAGAAAACGCTTTCCAATCTATTTATAGGAAATAAATTGATTCTTACATTGATTAACGCTCTCACGAGAATGTTACTTTGTTTGAATCGCAAACGCGGTGTACGATTTAAGCAACTTGTATAGAACATAGAATGTTTTTCGTGCCTCGCTTATCAGAGGCACAATTTCTTTGGACAAAATGTCTAGTTTCTAATTGATAGGTAGATAATAATGCAGACTGGCCCGGTTTCACAACCAATTTAGAGTTTTGACTAAACATTTTCACCGATGCTCTGCTCTTTCGCGAAAGCTGTGGAAAGTTTAGTATTTTGATGCTTTGTTTTTTTTTCATGATTTGAATAGGTGATTTTCTTGTTTTAAACATCATGTAATAAGCTTGTTTTAATATTGAAAGACCTTGAAGATAAAGCATAATTAATAGTGTCATAATAGAACTAAATGAGGATTTGGCGAAATGTATATTTCCATCTGTTTTGTTTGTATTACTGGAACGCAACTTTGTTGTAAATGTGTTGCAGGCTATGTAAATTGAAAACGTCGTGCATCTCCATTGTATTCTCATTTTATGACTTGTACTTTAAAAGGAAGCATTCAAATTAGCTATTAATTTACTCACGATGGCCGTAATGAATCGCTGGAGTCTCTTATTGCTCACAATAATGCTTACGTGCACATGGCAGTGATTGTTTTTGACGAGGTTGTGTTGGCGAAGAATGCTAACGTGAGGTTTTGTCCCCCTCTTTTTCTCTGTCAGTCCCGCACAGTCCTCAGTCCCTCCGCAGAAGGCCTGTCTCATCTGTAGCGATGAGGCTTCGGGCTGCCACTACGGAGTGCTCACCTGTGGAAGCTGCAAGGTGTTCTTCAAGCGTGCCGTGGAAGGTACGCGACAAGGCTAGTGGTCTTTCTTACCAGTTTAACAAAACACGTGTCAAAATATGGAGAGCTTCGTGCACACATATCCTGGACAGTAACTCCGTCGTACTCACTGGCCACTTAACAATGCATTTAATTATCGCTGAAATATATTTTATTGCCCATCCATATGTTGCATGCACGGCGGAGTCGTGCGTGTAAGAATTGATCATTAATGATTTTAGAAAACTAGATGCAAATTTTCGATCAGCTCGTGTGCAAGTGCTGGGCGGATTGTTGCATTGTGGGACCGTGAGCGATGGTGTGGCGGCTTGGGGAGGCCTTCATCCAGCAGTGGACAAATCATGGCTGCTGATGATGACGCTGAAACAATATATGCTTCTGTTGTAGTTAGGAAAGTAGAATAGACAAACTTGTACACATGAGAGAAAAAAAATATACTTCAAACTAGATGTAAAAAATTAGACCAAAGAGAATCGATTATTTATTCGAATGTCGGTGCCAAATTGTCAACAATTCTCTTTTTTCGAGGGGGGGTGGGTGAGGGGGGATGAATTTGTACAGGACTTAATCCTGTTACTGTCATCGGACAACAAATCTTCTTTATATGGGCTTTTGCGTGGCCTAATACAACTAATGCAGGCACAGTAGGAAGATGTGTATTTAGTTGTCATGGGGCCACAGTCTGATTGAGAGTATTGCTGTGTCCAAACATGGGCTCAGTGTGTCTGGTTCAGTAAACAGGACGGTGTCACGTAGCCCTTAATGTATATATTATGGTCCCCTTCAAGCGGAGTACCGTTGCGAACTCGCAGCACGTCAGCGATATTACAATGGGCTTTTTTTCAGGGCAGTTACGATCGTCGAGCAGCCAAGATCTATCCACTGCTGAATGAATGCCTCTCGCACGCCCTCGGTACCACGATGCAACAGTCCATGTAGCTGGTGTGCACGAGCTGATCCTATTTGTCCATCCCCCATGGTGGTTGTTATTTTCTCTCACTTGACTGCCATCCCGCCGTCATTCTCGACCATTTGTCATCGTTCCTTCCAGTGATGTGTCCTGCACAAGCCCCACTTATCTTAAATCCGTTAATATGATTTGCCTAACTTTTGCATATATGCTGTGCTTCATGTGTTCCGCTTCCTCAGTATAATTCTATGCATGCTGCTTTTGTGCACTTTTCAGCTTTTATTCCAATCTTATTCTCAATCTTCTTGTGTACGATTCAAATATCGTAGCTAGTAATGTATATTTAATCAAAACATCTTTAGGTACACTGGTATGTTGGACATATGTGAAAAAGAGCTTCATCGCTCATCGAATTTGTCCAGTATAAATAAAGATTCTGAGTCTTACTCAAACCTCATGTCCACCTCTATTTGGGCAGCATTCAATAACTGCCATAGACAAAGACACAAAGATGCCACGTGCAGCCTTAACAGACTGTTGGGGCGAGTGCTGTTCGCGAGCACCTAAAAAAGCCGGCATGGCACACGAGGAGGGTGGGTGGCCAGCACCACGCCTGGCCACCTTTGTCTCCCCAGTGGCGATGTTTACACACCTCACCAGGCACTCACTTGAGGCTTCGTCGACCTAGGAGAGGCCCAAGACCGGTTCAAATATTCACCACTGCCACAGATCCACATTCTCTCCATCAATATATCTTCATGCATTACTTTTATTTTACTCATTTATCTCGGGTTCAATTTTGCAGCCTTGGTTATTCAATACACTCCTGCAGTTAATTTCCATTTGACGTTATGATCACTTAAGTCTTCAGCAAATGATGAGATGGTCAACACGTTCACAATTTATGTTTATGCTTTTTTAAATCACGATTATAAACACGAAGAATAGCTTTGGCAGCAGCGTGTCTCCTTGTCTGATTCTTGTAATATAATAATCTTCCATATTTTTGCCAATAATTTCCTTAATAATAAAACACAGTTAAGTAGGACACTGCCCATGTTGAGCAGCATACATAGCTAGGATACTGCAAGGGTTAGGGTTTCACTTTGGCACTTAAAACTACAGTGAACTACTTTTGCTTTGCATGCACGGATCAGCATTGCAATATCAGCCACATTCGGAGACTGCGAAAGAGATAGTGCAGTTTTTGAAATCAATGAGCGTGTTGTTATAAATACTACACATTAGACACCCTGAATATAGCATCAACAAGTTAGCTCTGAAGAGAAACGTTTGTGACTGCATGTGCATTAGTGATAGGCTGATACCCACTTTAGTGTGCACTTCACACTGCCAAAGCTGTTTTGCAATATACAGTAGTAAATACATCATGTGTCTGCACGAAGGCGTTCGCATGCCGTAAAGGAATTAAAGCATCCTAATAACCGCTCAAGACGTGCTAACTAGGTTAGAGCAACAGCCTTTCATTACCATTATTACATACTTCATGGTTATTATGAATAGTCCTTACAGCAAATTATCAAGTAAACGTGTTTGTGAGTTTAAGAAAGTGTTTAATGACAACGCTTTTTGCGGCTTTGCTACATAGCCCATATATCATATAATTTCATAGATTTAACAGGCGTTAACTAACTTTTTTATTTTACCAGGTAAGGACCACTAAGCTATATAGATATTTTTCAGAAGTGACCTGAACACAAAGGATAGCTCCAAGAAATGGCTTATGTGGAAATTTATAGCAGCCCAATACTATAAACGCATGTTTCTAAATGTGGAGGAAAACACTGGAAGAGCCGGACAAACATCCACATGACCATGGGGAGAGAGACACGCAAACTCCAAATTTTCTAGTATTCTACCATGGCAAACGGTTGGTGCTGTTATTTGCTAAATTAATCACTTTGCTAGACCAGTTTCCAAAATGTCCCCCAATGTATCATACGGTCCATTTCTGAGTAATTATTTGTCCATTGCCTGCCTGTGTGTATCATCATTGCAGAACTACAGTACTTGCAGACTCTCTAATTGGGCTCAAACTATGGGCAATGGACAATGTAGTCGTTCACATTTCCACACCTGCTTTTTGTGAAGTACGTTTGCCGCTCCCTGAAGATTATTGCCAATTTTTTAATCGCCTGCAGCTATTTGTTAGGCAGTACATTATGAAGGCGCAGAGCAAAACAGACCAAAACAATCCGTGGCCTACTTTTGTGGCTTATATATTTTTTCTTCATGGCTAGTCGTTCAGTTTAAATATTTAACACGTAGGCTTTCGCGACCAACATTACGATGCATAATTGATCTTTGGGTCAGATCGTGTGAGTAAAATGTGTCTTGTACACCCCCCTCCACCAAGACAGCCGGTTAATAAAGCTGTCGCGTAAACAAGCGTGCCAATCTGTGTTCGACGTTGAGGATTGCTCTTGCAACAATTTAGCACTGTACCCAGTTAAATGTTTTTGATTGGTCACCAACAACACCGGTGTGCCGAGCGGATAATAAATCGGCCAGTTCGTTCACGTGACAAGTTTATTCATTGTGTGCGTCAGGCGGTGGAGGGTGCATGACACATTGTACTCATGCGGTCTGACCCAAAATCCCAATCAGTATAATTATATTCATTGCAAACCCCAAATGACCTATATAGTCTTTGTTGTCTCCGTTTAACAACCACGAGAGTGCTACAGACCAATTCTCATCATGAGCCACAATGGTGAAACCCATAATGTATTTGTGATCAAAGGATGTGGAGAGATATGCTCAAGAGCAAATTCGTTTTTTGGCGTGAGTTTATTTTCCAGAATCAGAATGTTTACACTGGAGGAATCCGATGAGCTATGATGCTCTTTTTCACTGATATCTAGTCGGGGCAGGTCAGAACGTTACAGCAACAAACAATAAAAAAAACACGATAGGAGTGCAAAGTATAGGAAAGTTTAATTTTTTGCCTACCTATTTTGTTATTTTACAAGGTAAAGGCCACTGAGCTATCCACTTATACTCTTTGGTTTTTTCGGTAAAGTCACGTAGGTAAAAAAAGGAAAATAAATTAAATCGCGACGTTTCGGAGGCAACACAAGCTTCCGTCTTCAGGTGGAACCGTCACAGAAAATAAATTAAATCACGTCGTGATTTAATTTATTTTCTATTTTTTACCTACGTTACTTTACCGAAAAAACCAAAGAGTATGGACTCTTGCAGTCACGAAAACTTCAAATCTAGAACTATCCACTTATGTTTAGCTTCTTTTCAGAAGCAACCTGGCCACAAATGATTTCTGCCGTCTGAATGGCTGAACTGCCCACTCACAGTTTCTCCATCGCAGCCCCGTGATTCATTTGCTGTTGTTAAATACTCCTGGTGAGAGGAGGAGGGGTCTACGTGGGCAAAGGTCGGAATTTTTTTTTGTACGTACGTATGTTCAACTTTTTTTTCGCACTGTAACATTGCCAATCGGAGGTGCAAGGAATGCACCAACACATCCACTGATAACGAACGCACATTCAGGTGCTGGGCCGTTTGATGCTGTCGGTTCTGTGGCTGTGCATTGCCGCCCCTGCGCTCGATTGAGACACAGATGAAGCCTTCACTTCCAATTGAAATGCAGTCGAATGTATTAATGATAGGAATCAGAATTGCCTTATTAAACTATCATTAGCACAATTTGGATTGTGGCGTTAGCGCACCTGCAACACGCTAATTTATTCGGCACAAATTTTGAGTAGATTTCTAAGCATTTTTTTAACGTGCACGTATATATTTTTCTATTATCGCTGCGTTATTCATCTGGCACCAAGTGAGAGATTGCTTGCATTAGAATAAATATGTCGTACAATAAACTGGCTGCTTACAGTCCCATGTGCTTTGGAAATAAACACTTTAATCTGTCAGTACAGATAAAAGCTAAATGCGAATAAGCATTTTTTAAGTGACTTTTTTGTGCATGAACATATATGGCCCATTTTTTCAATCAATTTCTGGGGATGAAGACCACTTCACAGAGGTGGAGCTATTTGACGAGCACATGGCACCATCATCGTGCTGGTGCAGTGTTAGTTGGTGAAGGCAGGGAGCAATTGATGTTGTACAATAATGGAATTTTGCTGCACCGCTGTCTGCTGGTAACATAGTCTCTGCAAAAAAAACATTACAGCATCTATTTTATGTATGGTGGTCGCCTATCCAAGCACTCTCTATACACAAGGAATTATATTTTGAACACATTGTCATCATCGTAATTCCTCATTACTATTTAGCAATGATTAAGGTTCACTCCACATTGGCATGACATTTATTCTGAAGGCTAATGAGACTGTGTAGCCTTGTAAACATTATTTCGTGGTGAGACATAACCACAAATGCTGGATCACAAGCAATACACTTTCTGATGTCCTGAGAATCTCGTGAGACAAAATGTAGAACTGTTAAATATTTATATCATTTTTTTTTACCTTTGCTGAATAATTCACATGTTAATTATACAGGTGAGCTTATGTCTTTGATCAGCAATGGAGCTCTTTAAGCTTTAAGTAAGGCAGTTCCATTCAGGGCTGGCTTCTGCAGAAGAAGTAATGAATTAATTATTACCCAGACAGATCACAGCCCTTTTTTAACTAGACTGTTAGGATTCACAAGGTTACATTTGCTCCCCGATACGCAAGTCTTCTCAAAACAGTGATAGATCTGATTGGTAAGATTGAGATTATATTGATCAAATTGTGCGTAAAAAGTAAAGCATTAAGACCTCAATTTACAAAGAAAATTATATATAAGGGTTTGCCTTAAAAGGCATTGGCCGTTTCTGTTATTTAAAAGAAAAAGTGAACTATTTGTCACCAAATGTTCAAATGTGCTGGGCAGTTGCATTCAGTAATTTTTCCAGAAGTGAAATGATTTATGGTTGAATACAAAAGAAATGTAATGGTCTTGACACTTGTTTTGCATTATTACATTTACAAAATGACTCGGACTAACATTCACGGGGACATATATTTTAATGACTTTGAGCTTCATTTCTAAACCACGTGTACATTTAAGTCGTAATTTCTAGAAATAAAATAGTCTCCAGTTTTACATGGTAATTAAATGTAAGATTACTGTGTTCATGCCTTACAAAGGTGATTACAATCCAAAAATATGAAATTATATTTCCAGACGCCTGCCAGAATTTTTAAAAGCTGAATTTATCACTTTCATTTCACGCTTCTCTGATGTCTAAACAAGGACCTTTGTTATTCGCTCTTCCTTCCAAGTAATTTCGCTTATTTTTTTTCTGTTTTTCGCTGCATGAATATCACAGGAGTTTTACGACAACCTTTGTGAATTTCGTTTCGATCTTGCACAGCTTAAGCTGTCGCTTTCTAAAACATTGTTTTCCTGTTTGCAGGACAGCACAATTATCTGTGCGCCGGCCGAAACGACTGCATCATTGACAAGATCCGCCGCAAGAACTGCCCAGCTTGCCGTCTGCGCAAGTGCATCCAGGCGGGAATGACGCTAGGAGGTTAGTGCACAACGCCCATACATTGCTCTCTCTTCATGCTCCTTGCACAGAGTTTAGCTGCGTGTAATTCATTTTTAATGGAAATTATCTCTCTGTCCAAGGTATTTGCAAAATTAATGTTGACTGCTTTTGCAAAGGAACATATTGTATGCACTTTTTTTTGTAAACTAACGTGAAACTTCATGGCCTAATCTTCCCATGCTTCTCATTTGCCTAAAGAGGAGTCCTTTGAGGTTTGATATTCTCGGGACAAGGGAAGCATGTGTATTATACTGGTCTGGGTATGCCAATCTCTGCCAGTGATGTGTCCTGCTGAATGTCAGTCTCTCTACGTATTTATTTGTTTAAATCACTTTGACGGAAAGCGTGTTACAACCTAAGATGTAATATAGGTAAGATGCTCGTTACAGTTTGAAATCAAATGCATGTTTTTTGGAGGCATTGCAGGCTGTCTTGACTCGGCTGTCGTGACTCAGCCCTCGCAGTCGCTTTACAATCCTCCCTTTCAAAGGTTCTCTATAGATTGACCTTACCTCCCGTACAGCGTTTTATGCTAATATCCATCCATTAAGATGTGACACGTTTCACACTAATGAGTGAAAATGAAGCACAGTATGGTATGATAGACATGTTTACAACCAATCGTTGTGGTGTTTTTAATCGCCCGATCAAATAATTCTGAACACTCTTTCGTTTATTTGTGATTGACGCTAATATTTTTCCATTGAGTGAGTGCTTGGTTGTAATCTTCATCTGGGATTTGCCCTGATAAATTACACATTAGTGCAGGTTTTCCATCTGTGATAAGCTTATGTGTGTGTCTAGTCTGCCCGTGGGTTGACCTAGTTTAACTGAAATGTAGGCCACAGACGGCACGCTAAAATAAACACAATTTCAAAGTTTTCACCCATACAGTTTCATACAATTACATCAGTGTGCATGCACAGTCTTAAGGTTTTGTGCGCACGCGCGTGTGTGTGTGTGTTGAGCATCTGTATTCATGCACTGCACATGATATGTATATATTGAGTCTCTACTGTACAGACAGTGTAAAAAAAAACATTCAAATAGAAATCTCTGCATCGTACTTTATAATATCCACGGATGTGTAAATCGCATTGGGGGGGGGGGGGTGGCGGTGGCGGTGGGTGGGTTTGATAAATTAATGATTAAAATTAGCTGTGCTCATTTGTTGCTTAAAAACGAACCCCCCCACCCTTAAAAAATGAAATTCGTATTATTGGCCTCGGGAGCGATGTGCACTGTGTCTGTAATGGCTGCCGTGGCCATTGGCCACGTTCATAAGTATCTCAGTATCCCAGGCGATCGCCCACACGGAGCGGTCACAGGATGAATTCCTCCTCCCCTCCCACACCGCACTGCCCCCCGCCCCTGCAGACTCCTCTACTCAGTAGGTCACGTGGAGGGGGGGGGGGGGAACGGGACATCAGGCAAAATGCATCAACACACGCGAGGAATGTCGGGAATGCTTCTCTTCCTCTACTACTTGCGGGTCCTTCTCCCCGCCTGTCTACCAGCGGGCGTAGCACAGCGCGGCTGCCTTTGGAGTGCCGTAGTGGTAGTGCTTGCGTTTTACAGCCGTCCAAGATAAGACTTTTACAAATGGGAGCCGAATGTAAAGCTGTCGCGGAAGGCGGTGTCTGTGTGTGTGGGGGGGGGGGGGGCGGGTGACAACGCACAAACGGCGCTTGTGTGCTGAGCGTTTGTCCTGGATTGCACACCAGTTTTGTTGTGTGTGTGAAATTTGCCTCGACCATGAAGGCCAATTCTCATGGCTAATATTCGTAACTTAAAACACCCATTTTAGTTTTCCACTTCCCTTCCCTGGAATAGCAAAGGTGGTGCGAGAGTGGGTGATACAATAAAATGTTACGAAATGGTGGCAGAATTAGCAAATGGCAGCGTGGTACACCAATTATGTCCGAATGCCAAGATACATATCGATAAATGTAACAAACACACGTAACCTCCCCCCCCCATTCCCGGATTATGGAGTTATTTAATGTTTTCAAACATTTGTTCAATAAACAACTGTTTAAATATGCGTTGCTTTAATACACAAATGAATTAACGCTTTCTAAATTGCCAAAAAGCGTGTCGGCGAGTTACCTTTTTCTGGAAATTGTACGAGCTGCAGAGGTTGCAACCGGGTACCCGATACCCGTACCCTACCCGATACCCGTACCCTACCCGATACCCGGCCGGGTACGGGTACCCGTTTGCGACCCTGGTGCGGCCAGGTACGGGTACGGGTAGACCGTGAGTCACTGGTGAGTAACTGTCACTCATTTCCAAACGTCTTGTCTCTTCTCACAATTCAAGTTCCTAGAATCAACCCACTCGCGCCTGCAACATGGCTTCATCCCAGAGGTCACAATCAGGTACCCGATACCCGTACCATACCCGTACCCGGCCGGGTATGGGTACGGGTACCCGTTTGCGACCTTGGTGCGGCCGGGTACGGGTAAGGAATCAAAACCCGTTTGCGACCTCTGACGAGCTGTGAACAACCTCGCCTAGTTTCCAGGAGGTCGTGGGTTCAATCCCGACCCTGACGCCTGTATATTTGTAGTTTGCATGTTCTTCCTGTGGTCATTTAGATTTTTTTCTGGGTCCTCGGGTTTTTCTCTCCACATTTAGAAACATGCATATTTGGCTGCTATAAATTTCGACACGATAAACCACTTCATTCGTGGTCAGGTCGCTTTTGAAAAAAAAAACGATATTCCTCACTGGGCCTTACCTGGTAAAATTAAACATAGTTTATATTCTTTGGGTCTATCGGTAAAGTCACGTAGAACAAAAATGTAATTTTTTTACAAAAAAACTACGACGTTTCTACGTGACTTTACCGAAAGACCCAAAGAATATGAACTCGTGCAGTCACGAAAGCTTTAAGTCAAAACATAATTTAGTTAAATTTTTGTTTAGTTCAAGATGAATTGCATACATTACCAGCCTGAAAGATACTCTGATAGATTACATAGGAAACTAACATTTTGTTAACGGTCATCGGCGATTCAAATGAAATAGCATATTAATATTGAAGTCAATCCATGTTGCTATGCGCTGCAGCAGTTGCCATGGCATCATGCGCTATGAAGAGCTGTGACCACATTCAGAGGAGTAACGTAAATTATTTTACATGGATTAGTCATGTCGGAATAAAAACACATCAGTGCAGGTACTTTCTGTCTTTAGCACCTCCGATTAGCACGTTTGGCTACGTACGGTGTGAAAGAAGTTCAACATACATACATTTCGTCTTTTAAATGTCTGAATGAGTCTGCTTCAAGGACTTTGGTGCGCACAATCCCAGAGTGCTAGATTTGATTCCCAGCAGCAAAGTACATCTTTGGGTATCCCTGCTGGAGCTTCCTGTTGTTTGACGGAATCTAAAATAAGCACAGTGAAACACTCCTCTTATCACCCTCGATGTGTGTGCTGTTGAAGGCCCTGCCCATGCTGTGTCGGTCATGGAGGTTGTTTGACCATATTTCACCATGCTGGTCAGTGCACGTGGCTGAATGGGGGCTCAGGACCAGTTGTGACATCACTGATGTTAGTTGGAGACAGGAATTCAACTGAAGGACATCAGATTCATAGTGCAATGCGCTCGGTGCTGTGCGACCGCCTCCACCCCCACAAAAATAACTCCTGATTATGTTGTGTGTGGTTATATTCCGGGAACAATGCGTATAAGAAAAAAAAAAAACTGCGTGGTTGTTATTAACACGGCCTTAAAACCAACTATACAACAGGCAACGTTTCAGGCAGTGGCCCTTCGTAGCATATCATTCGTGCTACGAAGAAGGAAATTAAACATTTGTGCTATATACTTAATTTTAAGGCAGTGTTATTGACTAACATGAGTTTTTTGTGTTAACTGTGCTCTTGTGCCAGTGCAGCAACACCAAATAATGTGCATATAAGGAGACACATTTGCTGCCACTTCTGGGTTTTCCTGAATCTTATATTTGAAAATAACGTATACGGAACTTCGAAGAGACCACTGCTGGAATTCGTATTAGCAGATAAAATAATAAATTGTCATTCCTCTTATTCAAGAACACATGGACAATGGGAAAAATCTGTCCCCATACAATAGGATTTAAGTAGATTAACTGGTGCCACTGATAATAGTACTCTTGGGCAATATGTAGCCACAGATGTTACTGAGAGGAGTAAACATTTTACATTTTATTTATTTTATCAGGCAAGGCCAACTGAGCTTTCTGACTCTTTTTCAGTAGCAACCTGGCCACAATTGATAGCTCAACAAAGTGGCTTATTGTGTGGAAATTTCGAACAACCAAGTCTAAACGCGTATTTCTTAATTTGGAGGCAAGAACCAGAGGACCCGGAGAAAATTCCACATGACCACGAGGAGAGAGAGAGAAAGAGACTCACACAGACCACAAATATACAACAGGCATCGTCAGAGTAGGGATCGAACCTATGACTTTGTATATACCAGGCAAGGTATTTAACATCTTGCCACCGTGGCGCTCATAACTGTACCTGGGACAGTGAGTTAAACCAGCATGGGTCCCGAATCTTTTTGTCAGTGTTCCATATTTGAAAGCTTTAGAAGTAATAGACCATACCTTTGATCATACTAAAGATTAGCCATGCACTGTGTACGATGATAGGTGACAACTATTCGTTATTACCTACAGAGGACAACAGGACAATGTGCCTGCCACAAGTTTGGAATTACACGGTGATTATTTCACTGCTCATAAGAAATAACGTCACTTAAAACTAAGCAATGCTCCTTCCATGTATAGCGCTGTTTTGAACCGATATGTACAGTTTTACACAACGATGTAATGTAGCGGTAGCAGCGGTAGAAATCATTGCCAAGACTGTGAGAGCCTTGGTGTGCAAACACACACACTGCAAGCCGCCATCCTGATTCGCACAGCCCACGCTCCCTGCATGCCCTTGGCAATCGGAATCCCAGTCTCAGCCCGTGT